ACAGCACGTTGACCAAAGTAATCCTTGAGAAGCCCAAAGTAGCTTTTTCACAGCACGTTCGCCAAAGGAATCCCTGACTAGCCCAACTTAGCCCTTCCACACCACACTCGCCAAAGTAATCCCTGAGTAGCCCAAAGCAGTTCTTCCATAGCACACTCACCAAAGTGATCCCTGAGTAGTTCAACGCAGCACTTCCACAGCATGTTCACCAAAGAGATCCCGGAGTAGCCCAAAGTAGCTCTTCCACAGCACGTTCCCCAGAGTGATCCCTGAGTATTCAAGCTAGCTTTTCCACAGCACGTTCACCAAGGTGATCTCTGAGTAGCCCAAAGTGGCTCTTTCACAGCACGCTCGCCAAACTGATCCCTGTTCACCAAAGTAATCCCTGAGTAATTCAACGTAGCACGTCCACAGCACATTCACCAAAATGACCTCTGAGTATTCACACCACGTTCACCAAACTGATCCCTGAGTAGCTAAACCTAGCTGCCTAGCTCTTCCACAGCACATTCACAAACTGATTTCTAAGTAGTTCAACTTAGCTGGTCCACAGCAACCACAGTTTTTAGTAGCGCAACCTAGCTTCTCCACAGCACATTTACCAAAGAGATCGCAGGATAGTTGTAGACTTGTATTGTACGCAGTTTTTTCTCACCCGTAGGACTGTGGGGCTGTTAGATTTTAAGAACTTTGGACTTCAGTAGACTCGCTACTTCTGCACATCCACCAGAGTGGTCCCAGCGTAGCTCAGAGCAACCCAAAGAACACAGCGCATCCACCAGAGTGGCCCACAGTGGCCCAGAGTAGCCCTTACACAGCACATCCACCAGAGTGGCCCCGAGTAGCCCGCGTAGCCTTTACACCAGCACATTCACCAGAGTGCTCCCAAGTACCAGTTCCACAGCATATCCACCACAAGTTGACTTGGCAGGGATGTGGGGTTGCCAGGCATTAAAAAATCGAAGTTCAGAAACCTCACAAGTAAGTATTCGATGTGTGGTTTTGTTTTCAATAAAGAATCCTTTTCGCGCCGAACCGCTTTTCTCTTGTGAAGACCAATTCTTTGAGGGTGGGGAATTTCGAAGTAAAGTAATTTTTTTTCCAGATTCATCGGTGGATGGGTGGTGTTCGCGATGGTGGAACCTTTCTTTGCCCCAAACTAGAGGGTGAAAGATGGCTTGTGTGAGGCTTGTGAGACCGTTTATCCATGGCATTATGCTTTTCACATCATGTTCCTGAGACGTCCTTCGTAGCCAGCAACTATATAAGGGAGAGGTGGGTGCAAATATGTCATTGTGTCAATCCATGTGGTCACCAAGAGAAAAAAGTGTTCAAAGCAATAATTTTAGGGTTGCCTTATTCACTTTTGGCTGATCTTTGATGTTCGAACGGGCGCCTTCCCGCGCTTTTCGTCCAACCCCAGCAACAAGCAAGCAGTCAATTCAACAACCAAATCAAAACATAAAAAAGGGCAAATTCAACCCAATTAGAACATGAAAACAGACAGAGACAAGGCTGTGCGGATCAGGGGTTGTACCTTTTGACTTAACATCAGAAGATTCTGGAGCAGGCTAAGGTTGCCCAACACAGTGCACTGGGGAGCTTGCAGTTCGTGAAGGATTATCAGTGATTGAAAACAAACGGAATCGCGCCAGCTTTGCTTGCTATGGCTATTGCTTGCTGTTTGGTATTTTTTTGCACTGGAAATAGCCGCGCATTCAACCCTTCCGAGCATGATTGCGTCACGGGGCCAGAATCTCGCAGTTGCTTTCAGCCCAGCCGGTGTGCCACGGCTAGCGGCCGCAAGCACTTTTGAGGACCCCCCATGGACCACTCTACACCTTTTCAATCGCTTGTTGCTTGACATGGGAGTGAGCCGGCTGTCCGACGGTTGGAGCCGGGCCCGTCTGAGGTTCTTCGTCTCCAAAGAGGCAGAAGTGGCCTGAGAGGAGGGGAAAACCGTCTGGCAACCCCCCGCAGTCCTTTTTCCCGCCACGCGAACAGCCATCGGCTTCACGATGCTTGAAGGGCCTGGCAGCGATTTTGTGCGGCGATGCAAAAGATGAACTGCAGCCAGCTTTGCGCAGATGGGAACCCTTCCTGGACCATGCCATGCATGTCCTGGCTGGAGATCACTAGGGTAGGGTACGTATATAGTTTCATTGGGCACAGTTTTTGTCATGGTGAGGAGGATCATGAACAGCATTTCCGCGATTTCCGCGCCGCATATATATCAGAAGCGTCCCCCTTTCAAATGTCACTGAGTTGCAGTCTGGACTTGACTGAGTGCCCTTATCCCCCCATCAAAAGCCACCAAAATACACTGAATTACATGGATTCGTAACTTTCTTTGTGGCAACAAACCTGAAAAAACAATTGGTGTGGACTGTTGCTTTCAGATGCTGGAACAGAGTTCTTCCTCGCCGCTCAGCCAGTACAGAATGAAGTAGCCCCAGTGCCGACGGCCCGCGCGGCCCGGAGAAGAGCCCGGAAGGCGCAACTGGGTGGGTTTGGGGCGCAATGCCTCGCAACTACTTGAGCCCACTGGAGTCACTTGAGACATACAGATCGGAAAACCACCAAGGATGCCGTCAGGTGATGTTGGATGGATTGTTCCATGGCATGTCTGCGAGTTTTGTTCTGGGAATTAGGATTGAGAGATTGTTTTTGGGTTCCAGTCTTGCAGTTTTGCTCCAGTGGGATTCTTGCTAGCAGCCGTTCTACCGACTGGAAAGGCATGGAAAGGCTATAAAGGTTCAACAACTTCTCCTCAAGTGCTTTGCTTCGCCTGCTACATCCTGGATGCCCAGATTGGAAGGTCAATCGTTTGCGGAAGCTGCACGGAAAACCGAAAAAGGATCGTGACCTGCCTCTTTATGGCTATTTTACCACTGGATTTAGCATTTAGCATGGATGAGTTTGCATTCCATATAGAAGTGGTGCAAGATGATGAATTCCTGTGTGGTGTTACACAGTCGGACGTAGTCAGCCCCTACTCTGGATGTGTCCACCAACGGAGTCGGGTTTCTTGGAACGCCCTGTGAGGCCTGATGAAGTGGAAGAGGTCGATGGATTCGGCATGCTGGAAAAGCAACGCTTTCCATCTTATCGTGGAATGTCCAAGAAACTCTGAACAGCTTCAAAACTCAAGAAATATGAAGTGGTATATTGGAAAATCCATGTGGTATATGATATATAGATATTCTAATATATAGATATTCCAGCGCTTCCTTTTTGTTGGGGGATTCAGAGAATGTCGCAGACATGAGTGCGTTTGGGCATACCTTGGAACTGTTTGCACTATGTAGTGTTTGATAGATGTTCAAAAAGAGCCGCATTGCAATGATGACGACACTCTGGTGGGATTTCTTCTTCATGAAGCAGACTCTCCAAGGGCAGCCGTGTGCGCATTCGTTGGTGTCCAATAGAGATCTATAAGTGGTAGGATTGTCGAGCCAGGTGACCCCGAACGAAGCAGCTGGTATAGCGGTATAGTCTAGTTATGTACGTTTATGTTGATTTTGGTGGTTCATTTGGTCTTCTGTTCATTTGTGGTCTTTGGCGGCGATGGCTGCGAGGCTGCTGTTGCTGCTCCCATGGGGGCTTGCGATGCGCGTGCAGAAGAACCCGGTGGCCCGAGTCACAGATCTCCTTGAGAAGATTCAGGAGAACGAAGGGAGGAACAAGAAGCTACTAGGGGCTCCTGGCATCGCTACTAGGAGCAAGGACGCTAATTACTAGGGGCTCCTGGCCATACTACTAGGAACAAGAAGCTACTAGGAAAACAAATGCATCCAAACGCTCCGAGCTTCAATAAGTCACTTCTAGATGCAGAGATTGTAGCTAATAGGGACCCTATATAATGTAGACTCTTGATTCATCACCCCCCAGATTGAAATGAACACACCTCTGAAAACATTGGGGGTTTATTCATCAGGAGTCTACTAATAATATGTCCAAATTCTAGACATTTCTACATGAATGGCTCCTTCTTTGTCACCCTGGAACTCATTGGACCACCACATCCGCCGCCACCGGTCGATCTCGACCATCTCACCGGTGAACACGGCGTCAACGCAGCTTGAGAGACAGACAGTTGACATCGACCCGAACATCTGCGGGATGACTGGAGGGAGGCTCGCCTTCCTTCTTTTTTTGGTGGTGGGTCAGGTTCCTTTTTTCTCCAACAGACTTGCTTGAGTTTGTCTCTTTTTTTTGTGAGCCCTGGATGTATTCAGTAGTTGATGATTGCGCTATTCTGTTTTTTTGTTGCAATATGTTGCAACAAGTCAAGAGCCTATCTCGAGGGATTCATGTCAGTCATGTCATGCCCCGATTTTCCTGGATCGATTTGGTCATATAAACTCAACTCACCTAGGATGCTTTTGTCCTGGTTGTTTTGAGGAGAAAGTCGAGAAGCAGGGCCAAGAGGATGCCAAGCTTTGGGAACAGATGCCACTGGGCCACCGGATCATCGGCCTGGGTCATGGCACCGGAGGACATCCCAAAAACCGAACTGGAGAATTCCAAACACAGTAAGTGTGCCCGATATCTCTTGTAATATCGACAGGGTTTGAGTACACGCCCAGATTTTTTTTCCAACACCTCGTGCCCGAACAGGTTGTTTGGCAGAGTTTCTGCAGAGCTCGAACTGGAGGAGTAGGCAGAGTTTCCGCATCCGAGAAGAATCACTGCAATCTCAAGTTGTTGTGTGCTAGGTGATGCTACGAAGGAACCACTGTCATTGAGCAAGCGACTATGACTATGACTAATCATTCAGTCAGTCGGTCCGTCTGTTTCTCATTTGCTATCAACATCAACATTTTCACTACAGGGAAACGACATTGTCATGCCTGCTCGTCCCCCATGAATTTCTTGTGATTTCATGGTTTTGGGTAGGACTTTGTCAGTGGCCCCGTATAGGGCTCCCGCAAGGGCTCCAGTTCGTTGGGTACTTGTTTTCCGGGTCAAACCGCGAAAGCGGCGGTAGGACATGTGACTTAATGCTGTCGACCCAGACCAGACTTCATTGATGCCAATCTTGTGTCAGTCTGTGACTCCGAACCTTCGGCTTTATTGGGAAATTTGGAATGGCTGCCAGCACTGACTAGCACTGCCTACACATCCACCACTGGAGAGGGTGAGATTTTCTCGACAACGAGGCAGTGCAACTGCAAGAAGACCCGGAAGAGACTGGACGAGAGCATCCAACAGGAGGAGACCAGGCTGGGCTCCAAAAGCATTCTGCAAAGGCAGAGGGAGGCACAAGTGGTTGATGCAACTTTTGTTCCCAAGAACGTTTGTTGGGAATGTGCACAAAGGATTGAGGATGTTTGACTGCACATGACTGCACTACCCTATAACCAGTGGTGTTTCTTCTGTACTCCTGGAAGCTGTGGGTACCCCCAGCTTCCAGAGGAACATTGTGCGTTCTCGAAGTGTCCATGGTCCACGAAGGTGCTTGTAAATCCATCCAAGCCGCTCATGGATTTACAGGCTGCCCATGCTCCGCAGCGAGCGCATGGGGCTCAGCGCACAGAAGGCGCGCTTGGAGGCGCGCTTGGAGGCGGAGAAGGAGCGCTGTGTCGCTTTCGGCAGGGGCGCTGTGTCGTTGTGTCGTGAAGAAGAACATGGGCGGACCGAACCTCCGGACCGGTATTTTGGGAGAAGATTCTTGACCGAGCGGATCTGTGGCCATGTCGGTGTTGACATTGTACGTTTCACCAGTTGGAAGCTATCCGTTTTTTGAGGCGCCATCTGGCCAGAGGGCTCGTAAAGGGTTTAATATACACATTGTTTGACCCCCAAATAGATAGAAAAGTAGATCCCCAGGAAACATGTATTGGACAGATTTGGAAAACCATATTTCTAGCTACTTGGGGACCACTGTATATTGGACCGGAGGTCACCACGGGTTACCGGAGGTATACGGTTACACCTGGACACCGGAGGTACCATCCAAGTTGGGCCATCCAAGTTCTACGGCTCCAACCGGGGCAAGTTCGGCTATACCCCAATAGCAAGACCCATGGCCTCCAACCCCAATAGCAATGGTTTTGCATTGGGGTTGGCCCACCATGCGGGGACTTCACTTGGAATGCATGTATCCCAGTTGGGGGGACACCGGCTATATCCCAGCAAGTGAAGTCTTGCATTTGAGACTTCTGTGGTGGACCATGGAGATGGGCATGGCGACAGGCCTAGCTAGCTGCTATGGAGACGTCCACAAAGTCCGGTTGGTGGACGATGCCTGGTGTTTCTGACAGTTGGCTATATAGTCCTCCAGAGTTCCCAAGTAGAAGAAGAGAGAGTTGTTGCAATCCCAAGAAGCATCCAGCACATTCATTTATTATAGAACCAGGGCAATCTGACAGCAGTACTGAGCTGCATCGACAGTCCAATCTAGCCACAGAAAGACCTTGACCATCTCTCCATATCTCTCCCTTGATGAATTTAAGAGACATTGAACAAACGATGCCTAAAGTGGATTGGGTGGGAATATGCGCAGCTCACCAATCTGTACTCTGTCAATCTTGTTTGGACCAGTGTACCATTGAACAGAACATTATATATAAATAACGATCAAAATAGATACATAACCCTTGTAGCCAATCATACCCATCCTACCCATGTCTCACTCTTCGGGGCAAGAAGTCTAAATTCATCCTCATCCCTGCACCCTTATCAGTCAAAGCAGCCACTTGAGTCGACTTCAGTACAGTCACCCAAAACCCAGACTCCTCCTTACCTCTGTTTTCCAGCATTTTCCAGTAGGGTTCAAACCCTATTTTAACCCAGAGAAACTTCCTCTTCCCCTCACCAGAGGACCCACCAGAAGGACACCCTCCGGTGCTTTCCCCGCGAGACGAACCAGGAGAACGCCGTCGCTGAGAAGGCGGACGCGCAGGCAGCGCTCACAGCGGCATCCGAACTCAGGCGGCCTCCCAGTTCACTGGGGCGGGGTGATGCTGTTGAGGGGAGATGATCCGACAGGCTCCGACAGGATCAAGCAATCTCTGGGTGAGTTGACTGCTGTTTTTCCATGGATTCTCTTGAGTATTTGCAAGCAAATCTTTAAGTACCGGTGGGTTCGCTTGAGTCACAAGCACAGTGTGGTTGGGTTCTGACTGACACGAGGAGACTCTCCATGGTGGACGCGAGATGAGAGACTTCTCCACGTTTCATGGGTTGAGAGATGCCAGCAACATCTCAGACAGATGCTGAAAGAGAGTCCTATGTGGGGCCCACCACTGCGGACCACTCCTCATGTCCTGGATCAGCGAAGTGCCCACTGCAGTGAGTGGGGTGATGCATACCGAGTTCCAGTTCGGGGTTGGTGAACAGAGACACTGGACGCGGCTCAAAGCCTCGCTGCAGGCAAAAAGAGGCCAATGAGTTTGAGAAGCTCAAGGCAGGGCGTCATGCCGTCTGTCGGTTCTTGATGAGAGTGAAGAACCATGGCAATCAGTGGGTGTGAGACACTTCCAAAGCAATCCAAAACACCTCAGACATCTCGGCTTCCAATCGACTGACATTCCTCCTCAGGCAGTCCGCAGTACCATGACCAAGCTCGGTGGCTATTTTTGGTTGTGGTTGGGGTAGGGCAAGGCTGGTGGCTGTCATTCAATGTTTGCTGATCACAGGAGGAGCTCCAGAAGAATGTCGCCGCAGTGGGCAAAGCCATCGCTGCCTTCGAGAAGGGGCTCGCAGGAACAGAAAGTGAAAGTTTGTTGTTTGTTGTGCATTCTCTGATACCATGGTTTTCCCTTGGAAGAGGGGTCAACACATCACCAACCATCCGATTTGTATCGTGGTATCACAGACTTAACACCTGCAAGAGCAAATTTAGAGAGAGAGAGAGGTCAGCTTCCCACCAACCTCCCAATATGGTTGTAGTATTTCTGGCCACAGAACTTGACCACTTTTTTCTCGTTTTCCTTCGGTCAATGAATGATACTGGAGTACGTAGATGCTGTTATTGTGATCCTGTGGTCCTGTGATCAATCCTTCTGGTTTCTTGATGCTTATTCTAGTTGATGGCAGTGGATCTTTGGCCAGGGATCTTTGGCCAGGTTTCTCAGTTTTACCTTTAAATAGAAGGTAGGTGACGCTGTTAGGGTCCCTCATGGACAGTCGGTCTGCAACACAACTGTTGAAGTGAGAACTGCAGTATATAGTTTGAGATCAATTTGTATCCAGCCCTTGTGTATTGCATGGTGAAACTAGCTCTGTTTCGAGGAGTGCTACAGTGCTACTTAGAACCCAGTTGACCTTTGCTTTGATGGGAACAAGAACAAGGATTTGGCTCCAAAACGGGTCATCCAGGTTCTAGGCCAGGTTCTAGGTACTTAGGGCCAAAAACATCGTGAGTGCATGGGGTACGTCTTGGTCCTCGCAGGAAGCTTCTTGCAGTCCAATGAGGCAGATCGGCTGCGCGAGGCCACCGAAAAGACGTCCAATCTGAGGCGGTCCGGGAACGGTGACGGTCGTGGTCAGTCGCGCTGGTGCCAGGGCGTCGATGGTTAGTGGGGGGTCACTGATGGACAGGAACAGTAGGATCTAGATGTTCAACTTGACCGCACACCCATATCCCAATATATCCCAATATATCTCAGACACTCCATGGGATTGGAACTCAAAACTATTGACCCCCTTTTCAACCACCCCAATGTATACAAATATGGCACAAATACGGCATACATGGAGCGTCTGTGTAGTGGTTGAAGAAGCGTAGGTCCGCAGGGTTCAGCTCTTGCGGGAATTCGACCAGCGAACGTCGAATCAATCCCGTGAAAAAGGCTCAAGTCCTTGGCCTCCGTATCAACAGCACCGTTCCATTGTTTGTGGTTTGGGAGTTTGGGATAGCACCACAAAGTAAAAAATGCCAAGTTCTCTTTGCATCTTTTTGCTCTATAAATATACTATCCTGGTACCCCTGAAGAGTGATAAGTGTCACTCCGCAAAGCGAACGTTAATAAACATATATAGCTTGTCCTGGGTTTCGGTCCGCCCTATTCGGACTTCGGCCGCCACCGCCATCCACGGCTGCCACCGCCGCCCACGCGGCCCACGCAGGCTCTCGGACCGAGAGGCGCTCACGGCCCTGCTGAGCGGCGAGGCAGGTGCACCTGGCAGCTCGGCCGTGCTGGGCGCCCTACAGCACCTCGGTCCCGAAGCGCGGGCGAGGGCGACCAAAATCGAGTCCAGGTGAAGGAGGGTGAAAGATGGTGAAAGGGGTAAGGGATTTTCAGCGGCTTCTATTATTTTTGGCTTCACATGTCAAAGGAACCTCAAAGTGAGCTAGCTCGGCCTTTGCTATACGTACTATAGTAACATGGATCCACATCCACCCGTCCGATGATGCTCATGTGAAAGCACGTGCTCAGGAGGCAACGCACGTTTAGCGGTCAGCTGTGAAAGTGAGCTGTGAAGTGATGACCAAACGGTTTGGTGATTGCAAGACGGAACCTGGTTCATGAGAAAGACGACCAAAGTTCTCCGTCAGAGGCAGGTCTATGTTCACCAGCCAAAGCCATGGGTCAAAGGAAGAATCGAGGCATCGACAGCTGGGCATCTTATATTGAGTCACATGGGTTCCATCCCACGTTCCACGTATTTCCACGTGTTGAAGCACGTGCTTCAGACCTCATCCAAGGAGCATGCGGGATACTATGGAGGAGGACTCGTGTTAGCGTGCAGCAGGAGGCTTTAGAAGGAAACTAAGAAAATCACAGAGCGCGAAGGGCCCCCCAACCAGATCCCCTTAATGTTCGCTGGTTTCCAGAAGAACCGGTGTGGTAGTGGATTTGTTCAGGCATGGGTGTTCAAATAGTGGGGGAAACTACATCAGCTTAAAATGAAAACATGCCGGATTCTTTATTAAATGGGTTTGGGTCCACGGTGTTTTTATACTTTTGCCTTAGCATGAACATGCGATTTTGCTTTGTCTTAGTAGCATGTTTTTAAAACCATGGAAATGAACAGGTGATGCCTAAGTAGGAGAACAGAAGAAGCCCTAAAAAGAAAACCTGTGATTTCTTCCATCATCTTGCCTAGATCCTGCGAGTCCTGACTGGTTGGTTTTCAACCAGCGAGGCGAATTGAGTCCATCCGCTTGTAGCAGCGCAGGACCTCAGCGCTTCTCAAAGCCGTGAAGCGCAGGCGGACCTGCGGTGGAGGGACAGGGCGGTGAGGCGGGGGAGACCGGTGAACATTAAATCAAATCACCTGGGTCTTGGCCGGTGGATCCCTGGGTGGGGAAATCTCTTAAAGCCGTCACCAGAGATGGTTTGGGTGGATCCCTGGGTCGTGCCAGGTGGTCCAAGGGCTAAAGCTGGCGGTCGGGGGGGCCCCGCCGCGGATTCCATGGCGGTCATGGCGGTCGTTCGTGGTCGCATGGTGGACTGGTCGAGCTCGACCGGTGGGGTCAACCTCCCCATCCCCATCGGTGGCGACGTGTCCGTCCGAGGCGGTCTTGGCCTTCCAGGGCATGGCTGCAGCTCGACGAAGCGCCTTGGTGGGTGAGATGACCAGGTGGAGATGAAGGTGAGATGACCAGGAACGTTGGAGGTTCAGAGTCAAACTCTCAGAGGTTCATTTGGGTGTGTATTTTCATAGGGAGACCCCATCATGGGGCTGGGTAGACTGGTCTATTTTCTGAACCTTCCGGGGGGGTCGAACTGTTTTGATACACATCCATTTCCGCAACGGTGCCTTTTTGAATTTTTACCAGCGGATTGTTTGTTGCCAAAGGTTTTAGATGACTGCGTCTCGTGTGCTTTTGTGACAGCAAGAAGTCCTTGACCTCGGCAGTGCCAAAGGTGAAGGACTCACTTCGGCCACAAAGAGATTTTAGCTACTGTTACTTTTCAGCTTTGTACCCAGGAGACCGACATGGACATGGAATATCGACACTAAAGCTCGAATCTTCCGAAAAGAGACTGGCCAGCTGATAGACAAGATGCTCCGCCAGCCAGAACAACTGGACTGCCCTTATTTACATTTAATTCCGTATTGTTGGTATGTACAGTGGATTGAATGTCTCGAGCAGTTTCGGCAGTTTCTGAAAAGGCTCAATGTTCTTGGCGTTCGGCTTTGGCCAGCTGCTCTCTTCATCCTCTCACTTCCAATCGGACGAACGTCCGAGGAACCCATCGGTGCCGTGAAATCGCTCGTTTCGTGCGCCCGGTCACCGAGGTGAAGTGTCCACACTGGACACGGAGATCGAAACGAAGACCTCCAGGCGGGTGACGACCTGGTCCACGCGACCGAAACGAAGACGCCGTTGTGCCACGGTTTTTCTCGCTGGGAGACGGGGTGACCCATCACCGACCGGTGGAAGGTTAACATCGAGTCTGACCAGGGAGGGATGCATTCATGGAGCGATTTCACCCTTCCATGGTTGGTTTCCAAGATTGGACAGTGGCACACAAGGGGCGAGGTTGTTTCAGGAGCCCGAGATGGGCAGGATTGCAACGTGAGTTTTGTCGCCGGACCTGAGATGACGGGGACAGAAACCCATCGAGTTTCTTTACATGGAGTCGATGTTGCCTAGCTATATCAAGCTCTTCCCAGAGCTTGATACCCGACTGATCGACCTCTAAAGAGCGGCTGGCGGCCGGCTGAATACCTTGGCACCGGCCTGGAAGTTTCGCGACGGCCAACATGGCGCCAAGAGGATGGACGGAGCTGAGTACGAATCACGGACAATGGCACGAAGTACTTGTCTTTTCCACTTCCATATCCGGGCGGTTCTCAAATTCCTTGTTCTACGGGGTATCAGTTTAACGGCCTTCCGTTCGAACGACCGAACCGAACCGCGGAACCCCGAAGCCACCGTGGTGTTGAGAGGATCGGAGAACTCAGCGTGGACCTGGTGAATCAGCAGCAAGCCATCGACAGTGGAGCCAAGAGGCTTCAGGCTTGGAGACCCGGTTTGGAGACCGTTGAAGAGAACCTGTCTTGCGGATCCAACATGATCCAACGACCAAAAACAGGAGACTTGTCAAGGGAACACGTTTTTTTTGTTTTTCACGTGGAAGAACGGGTCGGATGTAGAAGGTTGAATCTACCAAACTCCACCCATCACCCCACCTGCGTACCAGGCGGATTCCAACAAAGACGGTCTTCCCGACCCTTGGGGGCTGGCACGGGTGGAACCTTGAAATCCCGCAGCAAGGACAATTACCAGCTTGAGGCACTGCAGTTTCTGTTTCCCCCAGCGCACAGCGAACATATATACCCAGACACGACTAATGGGACTGCCATATATGCCTACATTGGGGTGGTTTTGGGGGTCAATGTAGGCATATATGGCATACATGGAGTGTCTGGGAGATATACATAGAAAATACAGAGATATGGCTGTGGGTCATGGCACCCGGAGCCCCTTTCACTTAGGTTGACCTCCCGTAGGTCGACGATTCTGTTCATTCTTGGTCGTCTCCAGCGCATCCCGATGCCATGACCCATTGGCACATAGGATGACAAGCCGTTTGGTCTCGAGGTATCAAGCCGTTTGTTCATTCAGCCCAGCCACACAGCCCCACATGGCCCCACAGGCTGTTACGTCATGGCATGCAGCACATACCACACATACCGAGCCTCCGGTCAGTGACCCGCTGCGGAGCGTTTCACCCAGCAGGAGAGGACCCTCACTCCCAAGCGATCTTCAGCCAGGACGAAACCAAGCTGCTGAGTGACACGGAAGAGAGCTGCCAGCAGCAAGAGCAGGAGAGATGGATGCCGGTCGTGTGGCATTGGCCTCTTCTTCCAAGGAAAGAGTGAGCCTGGACCGGCGTGGGAAACCCACAGGATGGATTCCTCAAAGGATTTGTAGGCCTGAGCCAGGAAAGTGTAGTGAAGAAGATGTTTGTGATTTCTTGTATGTAATTGCAGATTACATACCGGTCCTATACTTATCTCTCTCATTTTTGTATACATATGGTACCCCCCAAAAAAGCAACACTTTTAAAATGGGAGGTGGGTACCAACATACCGGCATCTGATCAAAATGCTAAATGAACATCCTCCTACATCTGACCAACAAAAACTAAATAAATAGATGTATTTTTTTAAAGTATAGACTATATATTAACATTTTTTGAGCCTGCCAAGGAATTTGCAACCTTTGCTGCACGTGATATTGCAAATTCCCTGGCAACCTCAAAAAAAAATGCAAAACAATTCAAAAGCCCATAGTCACAAAACCCTTGCAGGCTCAAACAAAGCAAAGAAACAACATTTTTAGGATCTATGGGAGCTTTTTGGGTGGTATATATTCTTTTTTGGTGAGCCTGCCAGTGTTTTTGGAGCTTTTGGTCTACCCCACCTTGCAAAAACACTGGCAGGCTCCAAAACATAGTAATAACAAAAAGAAAAACAACCCCCAGAGTCCCCATAGATCCTAACACTTTTGATTTTTTTGATTTGTTTGAGCCTGCCAGAGTTTTGACATTCAAGAACAAATCTGCGTTCAATACATTTGCTTTATCATCAAGGACAACTCTCACATACAAGCAACAAATTTGTTTGAACACGTTGGTTTTGAGAGGGGTAGCACATATATATATATATTGGTTTTGAGGGGGCGTAGCATATATATATATATATATTTGTATAAGTTGTTCAGAGGGACAACTGAGAAGTTAGAGGCAGCACGTTGTCTAGAATACAGAGACTCACACATGTCTTCCAAAAGTGACATATTCTCGGTGATTTTCGGAATGTCTGGGTCAAACAGAAGAACAGAATTATCTAATCATATCCGCCAATTGATCCAATCCCAGTTGCTTTTCCCCTCTATTTCTTGCCTTACGCATCATATATGCCCCGCCAGCAGAAGCCTTCAGCCTTCTTCTTGCTTTTCATGCCATGCACGCAGCTCCAGGAGTGGCATGCACGCAGCGAGAGCCGCGCGGAAGAGCTCGTGGCCATCCAGGAGACCTTGAAGCTCCTGGCCGACGATGAGGTCGCCTTAGATCTGCTGTTTTCAATGGTTCGGGGGTGGTGAATGAGAAGGGAAGTGTAGGCGCTTCCTTTTGGGTTCCAACACAAGGCTAGTTGTTTGGGCCGATGATATTCATGTCCTGGAGGGGTGCCCAAGTGACCATGTTGCCTTGAATGCCACGAGCAGTGGTTCAGCGCCTAGACTTGTTTGAATTGTAAGGAATTTGTACCGGAAGAAATGCAAGAAGGTTTGAAGCGTCTCCTTTGGCTGGGAATGAAGATCGAATCTGTCAGGAAGTTTTCAGGATAAGTGGCTTCAGGCCTTCATGAGGGATGTGAAACATGTTAAAGTTTCCAAGATATCCACCAAGGTTACACACTATGAAATCAAACAATGGTACGGAACATTCAAGGGAATTATAGAGAGCATCACGACAAGCATGTAAGCCATCCTTTTTGTGGAACACCAAAGAGAAGAAGGTGGATGAGTCAATGCATGAGCTGACTGGAAACAAGGAACCAATGAACTCATCACAACTACAAGAAGTACACATCTTCACGCAATGTGCTTCAGGGTGCTTGATCTAAAAATATCCAAACACGCGAGCAATCGATAGAACACTTCCATCTCGGGGTCTTTTAAAGCTTTCAACGAAAGGGGTGCCCATGTTGGAGCAAGTCAGTGAGCCTGGGCCAATCTTCATCAGGGCGTGTCATGGAGACTTGAGGATGATCCAAGAGTGCAGCAAAGGGCGCTCGAGCTGCGGGATCGAATGCGGGCACCTGAAACAGAAGACGAAGTGTCCCATCACCCCCAAAGGATCCCAAAGGCTTTCATCATGGGAGACATACAGATGGCCTTTTGCTATTGCTTGATGAAGGGAAGGGATACCCCCAGGGTCGTAAACCACCAAGTCGTCCGGTCTCATGGTGTCCGCTGTAACCGAGCGACCGCCGGTGACCGCCTGTCCGGCTCCAGAGCGCCGTGGTCCCTTAGTTCGGTCGACCCACCTTACGGCCGGAGACCGGTCGTGGAGGGGGGCCCGGGCATCCAGATGCATCCAGTGGAGCCCACTGGGCCATCGGCAGCCCCAGTTGCAGGATTTGCCCGAAGAGGGCTAGAGCTTGACATAGTAATGACATGGGGCATACACTGTTACTCAGATTGTTGCAGGACTGGCAGAGGGGGGATAGTGTGGCGCAGTGCGAAGCTGCTACCTGGGAACAAGATCACGTCCCATGAAAACACCGAAAGGCGATTTTGACACAATTTGAACCAATTATATATACACCTGGAGTCTCAAAGTACCTCGGAAAATGGGTCGGTACAAGTATATACCGATACCTGCTTTTATAGGGTCATCTCCCATATTTCTTTAAAAGGGTACTTGAAGTCGGGTCTGACAAGTAGTCTGAGACTCGTCAGCCACTTCGTTTTCTCACGTCGCCCACCCCCAGGTCACCCGGCCCTCTTTTTCAGAGCACACGCGGCGTGACGCGTGACCGCACGCCGCGCGTGCACGACCGCGCCACGCCATGGGGGCGAGCCAGAGCGTCGCGATCAATCGTGAGTGCGATGACCCCTCCGTGCCGATGTGGGCGGCCTGGAGCCGAGGGTTGATGGGGCAGCCGGATGTGGGCCGCAGAAGGGAGAATGGAGAAGGCCTGTTTTTTGAGAGGTTTTTGTTTGGTGATGTTTAAGGTTCTCGAACTGGGATATTTGCCCCTATATGCATGGGGAATATATATATATATATGTGTGCACGTTCTTTTTCTCGGGGTTCCTGAAGCAAATCCAAGAGTGATATATGTGTGAACAGTCAGGAGGTGCCATTGTATTGTTGGCTGGCTTAGTTCAAAAGACTAGCTGGCAAACTCCCTCCTCCCCTCCACCTGCCTAACAGGAATCAACCACAATCCTTGTCAAATGGTGGTGTCATTGACATTTCTGACAATGCTCGGCTGGTGTGTCCAACAGTCTGATTGACCTTAGGTATACGCCTTTTGAATTGGAGTAGATCACATGTGGATCACATGAAGTAATGAAAACATGCAAATAGGATCGGCAGGCTGCCAATGGATATTTGGGTCCATGAGCGTTGGGTCGATCGAGCGCTAGTAAAACACCTGACCAACCTGGATGATTTATTGGGATTAGTTCAGCTCCCTAGCAGGGGGTCCTTTCCAAATAGCACAAGGACATGTACACATATATATATATACACACACATAAACATACACACACATATAACATTACTTTATATGTAGTAGCACCGAGATGGGGAAGCTCAAAGAACTACAGAGTCTACCAGGTGCGGGATGAGACTGTCTCAAGGAGATGATGAGACTGGCACTGAGACCTTCTCCCTGAGACTCGACGACGGCGGCGAGTTGTGGGCGGAACGGAGCCGTTCCCCGGTGAAGCGGCGGGGTGAAGCGGCGTGTTTTGCGCCGAGGTTTTGAAGTTGTCCGACTTCCTGCAATTGATTGACTGGCCAAGCCATGAAGAGCTCTTGAGGACCAGGACAGCGGGATTTGCAGCAAACACTTGCTACTCAAGTCTAGGGGAGGGGTGGCGGTGTTCTTTTGGTTTGATTATTTCTTTGGTGCAGTGGAAGAAGTGCAGTAAGTTTTGCTGGGCTGGGCGAGGGAAGTTGCAGGAGTTTGTCGATGTGATGTTGCCTCGTTATGTTGCGATCAAACTGCTACAGTAATTCAATCCTTGTTCGGGATCCTTTAGGAAGGGACCTTTTTCGACCGTTCATTTCGACGAATGGTCATTCGCTCTGGTGCGCGCGAAGGTCTGACGTGTGTTGGTTCAGGCCTCTCCATGCTTCCAGCCTTAAACCCTCCTGGCTGGAAGAAGCGCAGCGCCCTCCATTCAACTTGAAGATCTGAATTTCGGACCAAGGTCCCACAAGAGTCATGTCCCTGACAGGGTACCATCCCTGAAAGTGGCGCATGTGATCAAATCAGCAGCAACCGTTACAGGCCTGTGAAACCTGTAAGTCGCCCAAAAGCTCCAGAAAAGATAGGTTGGAGGGTCTTGATAGTTGATAGGTAGCCACTCCGAAATGTTATAGAGATCTTCATGTATATAGACAGAAGCTTGGGCTTGGGATGATAGGTCTTCAGGGTATACGAACTGGAACTCGGGTCATGTGGCAGGGTCCGACCAGTTAGGGATTTGGGATCCGAGAAATTGTGATGGAGAAGCCCCGCACCACATGGAAAGGACACACTTCACAGTACACGTGTGCTGCCGCACCACTTGGGAGGGTAGGACGAGGGGATGAGGGTGTGCTGCCTGTCCGCTCAAGTTCTGGCAGGAAGTTGGTGAGACGCCAAACAGGTTTCATTTGCATCTTCGTCTCTCACCAGTGTCTTCGTCCGGTGGGAAGCGTGCCAGCTTGGTGCCGTCGGGTGACATTCGTCACGGCCAGCAGAGCAACTTCTTCGTAGGGACTGCTCCACGACTTCGCAACATAAGGTGGTTCCTCACGAAAGAGCCGTCACATCAATGTCACATCATGTCACAAGTTCGTTTTTGGATATGTGCATGTACTGTATCATGTACATGAAGCTTAATGATCATGAGCGTTCCACTTCCCGAGTGATTCCAGTGTCGGGTGTTCGTTCTTCACCTCCGTTCGCCTGTTGGCGGCGGATCCCACACGGTCTCCATTCGCATGTTCCCTGCAAGAGGGCGATGATTTGGTTACTTTTGGTGAGTTGGCTCTTGGCTTCGATGGCTTTCTGTGGCTTTTGACTTCAGTGGCTTCAATGGTCTTTTAACGATATTTTTTGCGCAGTCTGTGTGTTTTTTGTTGCTTTGCTACTTTTGGCTTGTGTGGACCTCTTCACCAGCCTGTATGTGTGATCCCCCAAAAAACACATTGATGCACAGGAGCAACCATCATGCACATGTACACACGAGCGCATACATGCACGTCACTATATATATATATACATATTATATATATAAATATATATATATATACGTCAAACACTTATATAGAGAGCAACCCAGCAAAACCGAAAGCACAAACAATCCGAAAAGAAACTGCACAAAATTGAACATGTAGTCTGATCTTTTAATTTTTACCTTCCCCGCGAGCCAACATCAAAATTTAGAACTACTTGAGCCAATTTAACCCATAGATTTTGCAACAGAGGCTTTTCACGGCCTTTCACAGATTGGTTTCATTGTAGATGATCGCTTTTCACGTGTGCGCGATGTGCGCTCAGTAGCTCAGTCGGTACAAGCACTCCTTCAAAAAGCGGAACCTTGTCACGCTGCTCTCACTACGAGGTCTACACTGAGCTGCACCAGAAACGGACACACGGAGTACTTGGAGTACCTCAGGTGACATGCTGGGTTTGAGTCCCCCCAAAAGCAATGTATATATATATAAGTTGATCCCAAAGACTTGGTAGACTTTAGTAGCTATGCTTTATGCTTTCTTGATCACACACATATATATATATACACATCATATCACATAATATGTATATAATTGTGTATATACATATACATTCAAAACATGTAATAACGCATTCGACAACCTAGATGGAAGAAATAAGGAACAGCAAGTTTTGTTTTTTCGTTTTTCGCATACTGTTGTGGTTTTGAGTGGACCTATATTTCCAAAGACTCCATGTGGCTCCACATTCACATTCACACCTTGACCCACTTGCAAGGAGCGCTTCCAATTATAAAGCACATCATTTCCTATGTCTTCATGTCATTTGTCTTGGCAACCAGAGGCGTGCTTCGCTCACACGCTGCCTCTTCCATTCTGAATGGGGGACACCCCCTGGCAGCAATTGCTTGGGGATTTCTTCGCACTTTCGCCGAGGTGGCTAGGAGATAGACATCCAGATCCGAAAAACCAACAACTACCTGTGCTACAGACACCTGGGCTGCAGACACCTGGGTGGTGTTTCACTCCGAGTCGGGTTCGGAGAGGAGAAAAAAGAAAAGCCTTCGATGTCAGATGCACAAAGGGATCAAGTCCACTTCCATTGCAGAGAATGTGAGAATGATATAGGGTTAACAACGACTTAGATATGGGATGTCAACTTCCCTCCCAGTTAGTTGGAACATGCTGCTTCACTGCTTCTCCGAACAACGACGGGTCGCGCTTACCGGAGAGTCCGGTTGGAGCGGGCGTCCCAGCCCCTCCCAGGAAGGCCTTCCGGAGCATCCTCAATGGGATCCCGGTGGCCACGGATGTGGCGTCCCAGCCACTTGGGAACACTTGGAATGGAGCCACTGATGGTCAGAGATGCTGAGTATGTTAAAGGTATTTTAATGATTTTTGTCAAGAAGCGTTCCACATTCAGCTGTGACGGGTTTATTCTCTGAACTTGAATCTGAGGCTTGGGCTGCCAATTGGCAGAATGGCTTTTTGAGCTCACATCATCCGTATATTACGTTTGTTTTCCGGGTTTTGCTTCTCTAGGATTGGGATTTTGTTGGGGAGCTCTCTATAAAGATGTTCGTTCGGGGTAATCTTTCTAGACGAGTGAATAGAAGTTGCAAGCTGATCAGACAGCCCAACTATGTGGTCCATCCTTTGGTGGGACTACCCTCCTTCCAAGATGGAAGGCCCAGCTCCTGAACAGATCGAACACACATTGCAATCTTTTGTTGCCTATTATATACTGTTAAGTACCTATCTTGAACGGGTTCAGCAGTTCCAGCCCAGGTGGGTGTGTCTCAGATTTTGCTCGCTTGAACACCGTGCGCCCCTTCTCCCCTTCTCATCGACTCTTCCGAAACGGTGCATTCTGGAGTTTGTCTGCGCCCATGGGGCTGTTCGCCGCCCGCGTTCGTCGCTGCAGGTTTTTTGGCGACCGGAAGGTCCTAACCAAGGCAGACCGAGCACGGATCCAGGACGGGCCACGGTGCAGTCGCCAGCGGGCCCACGTGGAGGTGTAGGGGTGTTCGAGCCCGTGGTGGAGGTGCCAGGGTCAGCGAGTCGATAGGGTCAGCGAGTCGATAGGGTCACCCCGCCTTGGTCTTTGAAGGTCATAGAAAAAGAACACATTAAGGACAAATGGGGCCATCAAGATTGCCAACAAGAGTCCACCCATGAAGCAACCCTTGTCTAGGGTTGGTGACCCTCAAAGCATATCATATATATATATATATTATGTGGTAAATGTATGTAAATGTTTGTTTTGTGAGGTTCATTCACCCAAGTGATGGTCTTGCATCTCAACACTCCGGAGGGGGTTCGGAGGCACACGTGGCCTATCATCCTCTGCATGGCCTATCCGTTCGGGTGTGTTTGCACTGACTAACTTCTGGCCCGGAAAACATGGCAACGTCTGCCATCTTCCACATCTCCCATGTTGCAACCCTTCGATGTTGCACCTGGCTCCACCTGGCACCGTGCAGGGACGAGCACCAAAATGGTCATTCGCTTCAAACCGACCGTCGACGGGCGTTTCTGGTTGACTTCTGTCTCCGACTCGGAGACTGGAGTTTTGGGGCGGAAGGGACACATTTCGGGGCGAAAAAGTGCTTGCCTGGACCGGTCATGGACACTCCACATGGCTTTTCACTGTGGGGCCGGGAGAGGGGGCAACGCGAATGCCGCACGACGAACGAACGAATTAGGGGCAACGCGACACGCAGGAGGCTTATATTTGGCTGCTGGAGCTGGAAAGATGGGACACTGAAGGGATGGCACAGGGTCCTGAGAAGGTACAGTTAGGGATAATTGCATGGAACATATGGGTGGAACCTGGTTGGGAAAATAGAGAAGGTACAGTTAGGGATGGCACAGGATCCTAATATTAATCTATTCTTGATTGTAATAATTGACTGGATGGCACAGTCTGGATGTATTTATGCCGCTGAATCACGATTTGGTTTGGGATGGGCAATTGTTTGGAATGATACGAGAGATGTAGGGAGCACGATAAGAACTTTCTGTAAGAACTTCAACATGCTGGAGTCACGCGGATGAATCAGAGGGTATGCCTCCAACAAGTGGTGGTTTCCCAAGGTGTCAGTGGCTGTGTTTTTCAGCCACATGGCTTCGTACCATGGTCACCATGGTCAAGTGTCAATTCCATATTGGGCAACCAGGTTGCAGGCCTGTACGCTTCACCGGTTTGCCCCTTCGTCTTTTCCGGAGCCCAGTCCGCAAGTCCACCGGTGCACGCATGTAGCCAGGTGGATAGCTTGCTAAGCCAGGATAGCTTGACTTTGCCAAGCCAGGATAGCTTGCTAGTCATTTGCTCTCCTGATGCCATGTGTGTGTGACCACCATTCTTCCAGACCACAGCTGCATCGAGAGGCAGCACCACGCTTGAAAGCATCATGACCCGGAGGCACCTGCTATCGGCTACCTACATACCAGGACTATAAAGCAGGTCACCAAGTTACTTTGCTGATCTACCCTGCAAAACCTATATATCCACCTACCAACCCCTCCAAAAAATAGCAAAAAAAACAAAAAACACGTGTCTTCACTCAGACATCGGAAAGAAACTCTGAGCGGTCATCCAATCCCCCAGAGTCAGAATCTGAGGCTCGACTGGTTTTGCGTCCCTCAGATCTTAGAGGAAGTGGAGGAGCTCAGCATGGATGACTCGATGACCTGGACCAAGGAACAGCGCGAGGAGCCAGGGAGCTGCTGCGGGGACTGCGGCACGGGCCCGTTTCGGCACGCTGTTTACACCGCATGCCTTATAGGAACCATGCGGGGGGGGTCCTTGGCGTGGTGGGAGGGTTCCACTTCGCAAAAGGATCTGGTGGGATCACTTGGTGAACTTGTTATATGTTCTCTATAGATGCTGAACTCATTGTTGCGGAACTCATCGCGCTTTTGCGCGTTCGATCGCGGATGTCCGTGGCTCGCTATGACACAGCCTATGGCTACACATCTTAAACCTCTTTCCATCTAATGTAGACTCTTGATTAAGCAAATTTGAAGAGGTTTACAATTCAATCGCTGGGGGTTCTACTAATCAAGATTCTACAGTATCTCTATCATGAAGATATCTTACACCGTTGCACTACGACGCCATCGTTTTACTATATACACACATCCAAAGATCCGTTACCCACTTTCTGCCGGGAGGACTTCTCTGGGAAGCTGTCCCTCCCGCTCTCGCCGGCCTTCACCGCCACCTTCAGCCGAGCCTCTTCGTCTGGGATGACCACGCAGGCCGGCACACACGATACCGAACTGGGTTCGAGGTGGGAAAGGTCTAAAGCATTCTTTGGAGTTTCATGATCCCTATGGATCCACATACCGAACCTGAGGTACGGTGAGAACGGAGAGCTTGGCTTGGTTACGGTCCAATGACCTGAGGGTTCGGTCCGGTGGACGACTCCGTTGGACGTTGGGACGACTCGGACCCCCCCAGCTGCTACCAAGCACCAGCTGCTTCCAACCACCCTGGCTGGACAAGCCTACACGACTGAACTAGGTCTCCAATTCCAACACCGGAATTGGAAGTGCTAGGAATGTAGGTAAACAAACTATGGCAGTCCCATGGAGTCTTTGGGTGATATGGCCCCATATATTGCCCCCCTTCCCTCTGACGTGCCCTTGAGAAGAGGGCTGGAACTGTCGATTCGAGCGCATGGATCATCGATGCATGTGATGTGCGTGAACTTTCCCCGCGCCAGGATATCTACATCAGTGACCTGGCCGTGGCTGGATCTTTCTGTTGAACCGTGCAACAATGCGCGATATTCAACATCCGAATACAAGCAATGTATAGACTTTCTAGGTATCATCGCCCCTTTGGGTGGTTAAAAAAGCTCTCCAATATCTGGAGGGCTTTATTGATCAACCGTCTACATGATAAGACCAGACATGGAGGGCTCAACATTCGGGTCACTGACCAGACTACTGACCAGGGCTTTCATGGTGTTTTTTAAGAACCGCTTGAAAGGTTGGTGAATCATTGATTTTTTGGGTTGTTCTGAAGCTGATATGGGGATGGGTCAAAACCTGGAGCCCTGGTCCACCATGTAGCCTGACCTCCAGCGCAAGTGATGTCGGTAGTACAGCCAAGGTCTCCTGGTTCCTTTCCACTAAAGATCAATTACAGTGCGTTCCGATCCCATATGCACGTCTCGAATATGTGAGTTGTGGCAAGTGTGAGAGTTCAACAAGGAGGTTTATGATGGCGGTTGGCCTGCTACGCGCGCCTCTCTCTTTAGGGGCTCGGTAGGAGGCAGCTTTCCATTGTTGTCCTTGCTGTGAAACCCCCACATGAGCTTCGCTCAAAATGACCGATAAGCGAAAGACCTTTCCTCAAGACTGTGTGTCATTGTCATATTCATATTGAGCTTGCCCAAGTTGCTGCAATCCAAGGATTGGAAGACTAGGATTGACAGTGGCAGTCAGGTATGTTGGGTTCGTTTAACGCACCAGGGTTCTAAACCTCCACTAGATCCTCGCGCCGTAAGAGACGCATGAACTTGCAAGCTGAAACCAATATAGAGTTGGGAGAGCTGATGGCCTGGGAAACAAGACCTCACAAGCAGTTCTTGATCCAAGAGTTTCCAGATTGACAAACTATGGCGGAGAAGATCTTGCAGAACCCTAAGAGAAACTGACATGAGCTGCAGGCCACTACCAAACATTATCCAGATTTTGTCGACACAGATATTCCAAAGACTGCAGTACACTTTTGCAGGGTTGCCAATTCTTCCAGTCGCATTCCCCCACTCATTCGATCGAGTTCAACAAGTTCTTGTTCCCGATCCACCCTTGATGACTCATCGATCTCTGCTTTAATCTCAGTCCAACATTGACCCACCGAGAAGAGGACTGTATGCTCCATGGTTTCTTGATGGGTTGGTCGCCTCAATTCACCCATCCGTGGATCCAAGACCTTCAAGACGATCCAAGACCTTCCTGCAAGCACATATATATATATAAATAGATATACATACCTAGTGACCTCTGTTTTGAAAGGGACATGCTGTTTTTTGGATCCAAAACAGAGGTCAATCAGGTTCTAGGTACTATATATACTATTCTAATCTATAAAGCGCCCTGGCACCGCCTGGAGCTCTGGCGATTCCGCTCAGGCTCCATCCCTCTCTTTGTGGAGGCCTGTGAGATTTTCGTGGTCCTGGTCCCAGCACCTCGGCCTACAGCGGATCCTCCTCCAGTGGTTCTAAAGAGCGCCAGTGTTGGCTTTCCAGAGGCTAAGTGTTTTTTTTTCTTAGTTTTCATAAAGACTCCATCGGTTGCTTCAAAGGGCTCAAGAATCTACTACGAATTCATACTATCAATTCAAGACTTATTTCGATATCTACAGTGGCTCTCAGGGATTCATGAAGTTTTAATGGACCCCTGATCCCCTCAACATTTCAATCCAGACACTTCGACACCACCCGTCCAGCCCCCGCGGCCGTCCCTTCGGTCCGCCCGATGGAGGCCGCCTATCACACCACGACGCAGTGGCCTGGTGTACGGAATGGAGGGGGGTGACCCTGGGGGGCCAAAACTGATGGGGCCAGTGACTGGGGGGTAGTCCAATGAAGGTGAAGGCACCGGTCGTTGGCACCGGTCGTGTATCAGAGACCCGGTAGTCCAATGGCATCTCCCTGGCATCTCCCAGTCGCTTCAGTCCATGCGCCGGGTGCCGTGGTTCCGTTCGTCGCGTTTCGCCACCCTGGTCCTGTCGTGATTGTCGTGTGCTGACGTGTCTTGAGCGAAGCGTGAAGATCCCCCAGAAGCCAGGGATTGTGAGTTGATTTGATCTAGGTCAGTGCAATGTGATTGCATGGTGAAGCCCCACAAGGTTGATATTGTAGTGTAGTATGAACCAGTATGAGCTACTTACTTGATTGATAATTGCACCGTGAAGAGTATCAGTCACCAAAAGCTCCAAGGGGATGGCCTGTGGATGGTTGGATCTTGGGTCAAAAAAAACGTCCAAACACAGTCCTTCTTGGAACCCCTGTGTGCTTGGAGACTCCTTAGCCGGTGTCCATCAAAATGCTCGGCTGGATGGATGCTAACCGGTCTCTATGGCATTACTGCAAGTTTAATATATAAGCTTCCTCACACTTGATCTTACCATCTCTTTTATACTTTAGTCCACTGCTCCCCGTTCTGCATGTGTTCTCATCAATTTTCCTTTGTACAGACAGCCATGCTGCCATGATGTATTTAAAAGGGTCCCAGAAGTGTTGGAATTCCTCACACACCACGCGACAGATCGGATCAGACAACTCTCCTTCTTCTCCTCCCGCGGAGACTCGGGAGGACTCGGGAGGACCCGGCGACTCGTCCCGGTCCATGTTGCATCGACGGGTCCAACGCCCGGAGTGGGACACGTGGTCCACCGTTGTGAGGCAACGCGCCAACTTCAGCAGTTGGCTTTCGCGTGGCTGGTGCCGCTGTGACTTGGGAGATCTCGCTCTGACTGCTCGGGTGAGTGGTTAGATGTGGATAGCGAAAGTGCCATGAAGTAAGTCTACTCCATACTTACACTGTGGTCTCATCTCTGTGATTGAATTAGGATACCGATGGCCGTCCCTTGTAAGGCACTTTTTGGTGCAGTTCTCACGAAGCGCTCCGCGCATCTTGCTCAAGATCATTGCTCAACAACCAGCATCGTTCACTAAGACTAGAAGCAAATCAACCACATAGTTTCACAGAAGGTTCACATGGACACATATTCCACAACCATTTGTGGCGGCTGCATCCTTAGCACTCAACTGGAGGAACTCTGCCAAAGCTTCGGGCAGTAGGGTGCGTTTTGAACTTTGCACAGGGCACAAGGTGTTCTGATAGTTTAATCTTGGGATTCAAGCTGCCCACAAAGTACATCAAAGTACCATGAAACCAACGAATCTCCCTTCTTGACGGTTCCGTCTGCAACTGACCGAAGAAGCGACGAGAAGCGATGTCTTAAAACTCCAACGGACCTGTCGTTTTCAGCCAAAAAGAGGGGCCTAATCTGGGGGTCTTGAGACCCCAGATTTCGCCGATCAAATTTTTGTCTGAAGCTGAGGGATGAATGAACGGATGAACCCCCACAAAGGATGCCAAAGTCCTTCAAAATCCCAACACCACCTCGCCCCATGTGATTCCTTGGCATGGCCGATGCTTGCTGAAGTGGATCAAGTGCTGGAGCGGCTCCGCCAGAGTGAAGCCTGGACCTTGTGGGACATATGGGATCCTTCGCTTCTGTTGCTTTTTCTGGGGGCACCCCTCAAAAAGAGTCCTTCCAAAAACTGATATAGAGATCTGGAAAAACCTTTCAGGCGCTCGAGCTGGTCTTTGGTTTTTTCGGAGATCCTGACCAAGAGTCCACCGATCCTTTTTTCGACGGCACGGTCGACCAGCTTGGTCCTGATCAACGGTCGACGGTCGATCAGCTCGGCCGGGCACGGTCGACCAGCTCGGCGAAGGAAGCGCGAACAGAGTGGATCCGTTTGGGATCGCGAACAGTGGTCAACCTGTTGACCCGAAGCGAGAGCCTTCCGCTTTTGGTTCGGTCGTTGTGACGTGGTTCGGTCCGTGAAACAATTACGTCTGCGATCCGTCAAGGGTTTTGTTGGGGAACGAAGCATGTTCGATCCCCAAAGCAGTCGAAGTCGCAAGGCTCGGTGAGATCGGAGCGGGATCGAAGCACCTCTCAGTCCTCCGGCCTCGAACCGCAGCGCTCGGGTCCCATGGGAACGTCCGCTGAGTGCCGTCAGAACCAAGGATCCCAATGGTTGGAGCGAGTTGAGTCGATGCCTGGACAGCCACTTGAGTCGCCTTCAGATCGCAGATCGGACCACGGATTTCGAAGGAGCACCCATCTCCAAGTGGCAACATATCCCCTTGACTCGAACTCATCGTGTGGCACCGTGGCACCACCGCAAGTCTGGAACCGTACCCCTAAATCTCATCGCGGCGTGGATGTGAAGCTGACAAGATTTCAGCCAAATGGTTCACACATTGTCATGTTTGTTCAGTCAGGAAACAAAGCCCTATAATGCTCAAAACAGTGCAAAACTATCATAAACTATTTTGTGAAGTCCGAGGGCCGCATCCATCGGTCTGAGGCCTCAGCTCGGAGCAGTTCGTCCGCTTCTGCGAGCAGCTCCGTAAGTTGCCCAGCACCGCGCCGGGCCCGGGCGCCGAACTGAGCGCGCGCCTGGCGCAGCGGGTGGCCAATGCCTTGGAAGAGGTGGAACACAAGACGGAGACAGCGCCCAGGGCGGCAGGAAAGATGAAGGGCGGGTTGGGAAAGCTGGTGGAAGCTTTGTAGAAATCTTTTACAGTGGTTTCACCATCAGATGGCGCAATCCCCAAGTTCAGTGGTTTACATGGACCTCCACATAAAGGACATTTGATGAAGCCCGTGCCCATTTAACTTACTCTCACTGTCATTGACTTTTGTGGATGTCATGTCCCAGCATGTGTCACTCTGCTTGCAACTGGTTGGGGTCGATTCAAAACTGGCTACTACGTTACTGCATGTTTGAGCCATGCGGAGTTGTTCAACCACCCGCGAAGTCGTTCGCATTTGAACAAATCATTGAATGTTGTTTGTGGTCAATACAATTTAATCAAAGTCAACACTTCTTCATTGTCACCTTAAATTGAAGCATTTTGTCACGCCTTTTTTAAACCATGGCACCATCCTTTTGTCTTATAATGCTTCATTCTGGTTTTTGACTTGTTTTGACCGTCTTAGCAAACATGAAACTCCGTTCCTGGGAATACGCATTTGATTCACTTTCACATGTGTTTGTGGCGAAAAAACATATCCCCCTGGTTCTTGGCAGTCCCATGTTGATGGCGAGTTCAACCCTCGGATTCGCACGTACATCAGATGTTGACAGAAGTGCGCACATGCCATGTCCACTGACTTTTGCACTGCCACCCCAGAGGCACTGTCGCACTTTTGTTGTGTTTTTCTCTCGCGTTTATAGGAAGATGCAAAAAGGCTGCATAACACATTCCAAATGTTGAGGGTGTTTTCTTGAGACAACCATATATCATATATTCGTATAGTTAAAACCTGTAAATTCCCTGGACAGATATGGAACAATTGAATCCCAATGGCGATGATGTCAAGACATTCACAAGATAGATAGACATGCTTGAACAACCTCTTGAGCTTCAAACATTGACATGTGGCGAACTGAGGGTCAAGGTCAAGGCGACCTGAGGTTCCAGTGAGACTTTGGGCGGAAAGGAAGTACACCACCTCAGGAAATGTTGATGTATCACTGTATTATCACCTCACTTATGCAGTTGAGTCAGCTACTGGAACTCACTAACCTTGGGCCGGTCAGGATTGCCCGCACCTGGGTCAACTCTGTTTGTTCATGTGTCCACTTATAACATCTTATAGCAGGTTCAAGGATTTAATGCGCCCAAAGAACAGGTGAACACGTCTAGTTGTCGTTCATCCGACCAATGGTTGGTGTTTGCTTTCTTGAGACCTATGAAGACTGAGGTTTCTGCAAGTCTCTTGCTTCTCTTGCAGCGTTGTCTTGGCAGTTTAGAGCACTCGCAGCTGGAGCAGCTGCAGCTGCAACAGCGCCTGCTGCCAGCGCTGAAGCGCAGCCGGAGCCTTGCAAGCTCCGCGCAGGCCATGGTCTGTTTGCAGAGGCGCGGGTCCACGGTGGGCACGGAGGGCGGGCAGCCAGAAATCAAGCTGGAGCAGCGTGGATCAAACCGCAAAAATTTGGTGAACAAAATGGTCGAGGAATATAGCAAGAGACTGGATGATCTGGAATGATCTGGAATGTTATGGAGCAATTTTCACTTCGATCCAGTTCGGATGCGGAGGAAATTTAGTAATTCAGTGACACAAAAACATGGCTCAGCTATGAGATGCTATGAGTGATTTAACCTTTCCACCCTGGTTGTAGTAGAGGCCGTGTGGGCTCTTTCATTATCGCCACGACATGTCCATTGTCCAATTGAAATACTTTCTCGCCTATATGTTATAGTGGATTTAGAGTAGATGGCACAGACCCCAAGTTCGGTAGTTATATTGATATACCTAGAGGATGAGTGACCTCTATTTTGGAGGGTCAACTGAGTCAACTATCCAAAATATGTGGTATATATTGGTTAATATGGACCCCCATCAATCTGTCTAGGACATCATGGGGTGCCAGTGCCATTGAACCTCTGAAACCACTTGTACTTGAAAAGAAAAAAGGCAACAAAGTCAGATTCCCCCCTCACTCCATCTCACTCCAATCCCAATCCCAACGCACCGAAACAACCGGTACGCTTCATCGCATATCGTGCGCGTCCCGTTGCGCACGCGTTGCATCCCAAAGGGTCACATGGGTGTCCGACGGTTGGAATTCGACGGCAAGTCTCCAGCTCTTCAGATGGCTTTTCTGGGCCCTTTTTCGACCGCCACAAGGGGACGCCTCGTTTTTCAGGGTGAAACGTGTACGGCTCCTGGGTGAATCGACGGATCAAACAAAAACATACAAAAACAGGGTGGACCGGGGGAACACCGCCATGCGCAGCCATGACATCTCTTCCCAACTCTCCCACCGAACGAGAGACGAACAGACGAGCGCCCGAGGCTGGCAGAGGAGAAGAGCTCCATGGGCTCGGCTGAGTTGGCTGCAGCTGTGTTGGCCGTGCCTTGGAGTCGAGTCTGGTGAGGTTTGGCGTGAGATGGCGTGAGAGATCGAGCGAAGGCTTGAAAGTCTCAGGACATCTCAGGACTCTTTGAACATGTTTGAAAGGATCTTCTTGGGAAAGGGTCTTCTTTCAGAAAGTTTCTCAAAGGGGTGAAGCCTGGTGAACACCTCCAGCTGTGACGGTGACGGTCTGCTCGTGCCGCTCGAGGCGTTGCAGCTCTGCTCGGAAGTGGTCTTGCAGCGCAGCAGCCGGGCGATGCTGCGGGAGGCGGTGCAGCTCCTGCAGGCTCTGCCGCAGGTGTTGGAGGTGACGGGCGACACCTTAGAGGCCGGGTGCGAGGATGGTGAGGGGCGACGGGAGAGGGGAGCGGATTGGCAAACGGGGGTCAGTTGGGCCGAAGAGCACCTCTCACCAAATGGACCAATGACCAATGACCGTTCGTGAATTGGGCTGTGACCAAGTTCGGGGGGACTCAGCACTTCGACTTCTTAGCGAACGCGGTGGACTGGGGTCCCGCATTTTGGGGTCGAATTCAGTGAGAGTTGGAGATCACTCACATGGGTGGTGGATCTGGAGGGGCAAGGAATAGCTGAAGACCTGGGAGAAGTGCACCTCAAAGTAGATCAAAGATATGTATAGACCTCACTGGTTAGTTTATATACCATCCCCCTACTTGTGGTGATTTTCTTCTGCCTTTTAACTCCTCAAGTCCGGGCATCTTATCCACCTTAAATCCGGAGGTGATGTCTGTCGGCCTCTTCCCCTCTGTCTGCGCAGCTAGGC